CCTGTAGTCGTTTGGGCTGTCCACTGCTGACTTTTTCGGGATGGGGATGATGGTGGAGGTTTTGAGGCAGGGTGGGACAATGGACAGTGATAGGGACAGGTTGAAGATATTAGTGAAGACTCCGCTCAGCTGGTCAGCGCATGCTCTGAGTACCTTGCCTATAGTTCAAAGTGTTATAATATTATTATTGTTTACTTACTTTCTGCTAGACCAGAGGTCTCCAACCTTTGGTTCCTGGTCCAGATGCAGCTCTGACAGATTATGTTTGTGAATTAAATCAAATATACCCACACACTTGACTTGATAGGACTGTGGATTTGAACAAAAGTTTTCATTCTAATATTACAAACTTCCCACTCTATCAAATTGTATTAGAGCTAGGCCTAGACTTCAACACACATATATATATATAAACTATTTTTACCTCCTGCATTTGAGTCTTTTCCTGCTTGTCTGTCAAAAACAATAAATGATGCATAAGGCTTGTGAGCCACAGATTGGCCATACCTGGGTTAGAGCATTAAAGAGAATTATTGAGAATCCTGCAAATTTTTGAACATGATAACACTTATCAATGATCCTTCCATGAACAGTGCGCCACCACTGGTCCACGGTACAGTACCTGATTTACATGATCCATCATTTAATTCCTCACTCACATTTTTACTTCTGGATTTCTGGGAAAAAAATTAAAATATGGTTCCATGTTCTTTAATTCTTCCCTGATCAGCCACTGCTTTGTGCTGCTCCATTCCTTCCGCTTCCTCTCCAATTGTGCTTCCTCCCCTCTGTGCAACAGATCTCACTCCGCAGGTCTTTTGTATCTGAAAGTGTGTCAGAATCTCTTTATTGTCATATGCACCAGGGAAGGTGATACGAAATTTAGTTTTGTTCGACCCGTTCCAAGAAAAAAACATGAATAGACAATAAAAACAATACAAATAATTGACAAGGGGGGACAGGAACAGGAAGGCCAGGACGCAGCCCGTGGTCAGCGCACCCTTATATTAGATGAAAAACAACTGAAAAACGATAGGGAAGGAGGAGGAGGGGAAAAAAGACAACTGGCTCTGGGCACTTTTTTCAACAAGATATCATTGAAGGGCCACATTAACATCTTTGAGGCAGGCGGTATCAGCACCAACACAGGAGCAGCTGCAGCACATTGATCCTATGTGGCAGCAGTGACACGGACCATGTACTGGAGAGGAAAATGTTGCAGGAATCCTTTCTTCATTTTCATGCATTGTTCTCATGAAATTTCTCCTCTTCAGATATCCTCAGGTTATTCAATAAAGTGTTTTAAAAAATATCATGAGCCAATGAAGATAGTAGATTGTTTTGGGACAGGGCGACGCTGGAATCTTCTGTCTGCCCTTGAGTGTCTGTCTCTGAGTCTCCCGGTGGCTTGCTTCAATATGTCCGAATTTGGTGGCCAGATTCAGCCGAGCCGAGCTGCCAGCTTCTCCAAGTGGGTATCCAGTATGCGAGAGCGCTCAAAAACCGCATCCATTTTGCGGTTGAGCTCGCAAATCGCTTGAGTCTGAGTGTTGGCGGCCCTGCCCCATCCGTTAGTCAGGGCGATGAGCTTGTCGATTGCCAATTGTAGCATAATCTTTTTTTCACGATGGAACAGGAAGGTGCCCAGGCCAATCAGCAGAAAACCTGCCATCATAAATCCAAATAGGTACAAATCTTCCACATCCTCCACGGAAAGCGCGGACAGGCACACGATCCTCCATCTCTCCCAGGAGTCCAACGTGTAGCCGGCCGGGAAGGTTCCGTCAGGGCAGCCGGGTTCTCCTTTACCCATTTTCATGGTTGGTTGAGAAAATTTGATCAATTGCGTTGAGAGACCAGTTGACCAGATCCATCATTTTGGTTTTGGAGGAAAATGCAGAGAGAGGCTCCGAGATAGTTTGACAGAGACGGTACAAGACATAGAGCAGTAGCAGGGCAGATAAGGGCAGGAAGGGAGGAAGGGAGCAAGGGAAAAAGCGTCCGCCTTCTTCGAGAGCAAGTGTGTCATCATTTTCTCAATGCATCTGTCCACTGTTGAATCCTTTGTTCTTCTCTCCACTCTTAGCCGTACTCCTGATATTTCTCTGTATTTCTCAGTACATTTGAAAGCATCAGCATGGGCTCAGGACAAGCTCCACCACCAGGATATTCACTGGAAAAGACATTTAAAAAAAGGATAAGGAGAAAATAGGATTTTCTTTTCTGCCCTGGCCCCTTGTGTATATCACTGTATGACGTATGCCTCCGCTATGCTTGCCCTTTAGTTCCAGTGCATGATGGAACAAGACTTTATGGGAACTGGTGACGTACCCATAGGTCAAAACGTCATAAACAGAGAACCCTCTATAGCACTTCTTGTAATGTGTACATAACACACACAGATAAGGAGATAAATGATCTCATTTCAAACGCGGTTCATAAGAAAAAATGTGCATGATAACTTTTGAGAAGTAGTAATAAATGAAAAATCCATTCCAAATGTCTTCAATGATGTCAGAGCTCATCAGTTATGATGTTTAATAATTTAGTTCTGCCGCCAGTTAAATACTAGTGGTCTCATGTTAAACTCCAAAAAGAAACACTGGGAATATGGCTGTAAATGAAACCTGTCTTAAAGGCAACTTAAAGGTAACAGTAACAGTGGTGTGAAGATGGAGATCAGAGACAGTTAAATCCGCTCTATCCTGTTTGCCTGCATCTTGAAGCATTATTTTCCCAGCGTCTAATTTTTTCTCCATATAAAAGCCAACTGTGTTGTGATTCGCTGCTCTTGTGGAGATACAGATGTTTGCTGTCAAGAGATTAGAAGCAATAAACAGGCAAGCAAGGCATTAGATTATATGTGACTGTGAATGTGTATGGAAAGGTGTGTGTGTGTGTGTGTGTGTTGCGTTCACAGGCTGACCTCACTTACTGTATGTAAGTGTGACTGTAAAGCTACATGAGCTGCTTGTAGTGTGTCAAGGGCAGAGATCAGAAAACAGGTTGAGACAAAACAGCGTCGTACACAAATGTGAGGTCCTGAAGTTTAGCAGGTTTGTCGTGTTTAGCTCCAATTTATTATTTATTATTATTTCGCACATCTGTTGTCATTGAGCTGTTCATGCAACAAATCAAAATGTAACACTGCCCTGCAGATCCTTTCCTGCAGTCAACAAACAACTCTCTTCCATCTGTCTCTAAAAGAATACTTGTAAAATCTCCATTACTGACAATATCACTTTTCAGACAGCTTTTGCTAAAGAGTTTGATTTAAAATAAACATAATAATTGCTGGAGAGAACTAATTTTCAGAAGTTACTTATTTTAAAATACCTATAACTGTACTGCGGGATTCTCTTCTGTGTGTTCCCTCTCTTAAGGTCAGACCATAAACTACTACCAGCTCCAGGTTACTGATCATTAGAGTTGAGAATCAATATATAGATATAAAAATAATAGAAACCCTAACAGGTGTTCCAGGCTGCTCCTGGTGAAAAAACAAAGTAAAAACAAATCTGTTAAAGAAGTGGCACAAAATTACAAAAGAAAAGAAAAAGGAAAAAGAAAAGAACTGTGAAAATGTTCAGCGCTCACTGGGGACCAGTACAATTATCTTCACTGTTCATTCATTATACTATTTTTCGTGGATATAAAGCAGTGGAAATAAATAAATACCCAAATGTGGCTTACACTGGACATCATTGAAGAGTGTGTATACAGAGCGGAAAGTTTTAAGCTGTGTACAGTCAAAAGAAAAACTCTATAACCATGCCACAAATTAAATGGACCTGTTTTTAGGTTGGCCTTTGGGATCTTTGGGATCTAATATTCTAATTTGTGACAAATCACCTTTTTTTGCTCATTTGCCTCTTCAAACCTGCTCTGATTTGTTGCTCAAAACTGGGCTTTAAAAAAAAAAAAACGATATACATTTTCATTGTACAGTCTCGTTGGTCTGTTACCCAGGCTGCCTCTGTGCATTCTCTCTCTCTTTTACTTCCCTTTTGTCCTCTCCTCAATTTTTCCACTGGTCAAGTTAATGGGTCTTTAACCCTGTGTCAATGAGCTGGGGTCTTTGGTGTGATTGCCCACACCGCAACTATTCCCTTTCCAATTAGGCAGCGATGCAGGCCAGGAGACCATTTTCTGTGTGTGTGTGTGTGCGTGTGTGTGAGTGAGTGTGTGTGTGTGTTGGGGCATGTTCAGGAGTGTGTGTTTGTGCAGGGAGGAGATCCTCCAAACATGGCCTGAGGTGTCCGTGATAAGCACCATTATTGTCGTTAATGACAAAGATATTGGGTTACAGATGCAGTCACATGCATGGGCGCGAGTGCACACACACACTGTGACGACCCCGTCCTCTTTTCTGGTCATTTCTTGGTGTGTCTGTTTTCTTTTAGGTTTTTCCAGGTAGATGGGTGGAGCTACTAATTGGATGTGCACCTGGAAGGCTGGGCCCAGGTTATTTAACTGGCTCCTCCTTCTCATTCTTTCTCTCTCCGACCATTTCTCAGAGCACCTGCTTCCTGTTTGGTTTGTGATATTTGGTTAGAAAATAAATATTTTTGTTTTAAGTTACTTAAAAGTGTGTGGTCTCCCATTTTTGTCTTGCTCTCTGAGCCAGGGCTATGACATGGTACTGTGAGAAACATCTTAATCCCACACAGGAACATTGACCTGTGATCTTCTGGACCTACCTGGGTTGCTGACATGCTCCAGGTGACCCAGAGTTGTCTGTTTGGTGATCCTGTAGACCAGTTCTCCCGGTTCACTGTCCTGGTCACTGGCAGACAGCTGCAGCGTGGTCAGCTTCTTCACCGTGTTCTCATCCAGTACCAGACCTTTGTTCACCACCACAGACGGAGGAAGTCGGTCCTCTGCAGAAAGCACACCAAGAAAATGATTACTTTAATGATTACTATAAATATAGCGAGATGATTCTTTATACCTGGAGATAAAATGCCAGTGAAAAAGACAGATTAAAAACTGATGTGTGAGGACAGGAGGAGCAGCTGGAGCTCCAGGAGTGAGAAAGAACACCTGTAAAGAACATTACCAGAAAATGAGGAGAGAAAGAGTGGCAGTCACCAAATAGATGCGATAAAATAGTGGAAGGTCAGAGCTAAGTATGGCAGGAGGAGACATGGGGTAAAAAGTTGGCAGACAGAATCAAGATGCTGAGTTGAACAAAAAAAAAAAAGAAAAAAAGAAGCCATTTTCAACAATAAACAACAACAACATCAGCTTCTGAGGCAGACACACATTTTAGACACTTAATTTACCAACCGAGACAAACTTTAGGACACAAACAAACAAGTGTTTTTATCCACAATTTGCATATCCTGCAGAAAAGTGGAGTTTATAAAAAATACTCCCTGTCACTCAACAAAGTGCAAAGGGACACTCAGTGATTTCAGATCGCCTAGGAACAGATACTGCTGATTCAGTGCTGCCAACATAAATAAGTGTGAACTGGTTTTGTGATGGGGAATTTATTCCTGTAAAACCAATGATTTGCTGCATGGAATTTGATGCAAGAGAGCGCATGACTGGCAAAATGTGTAAGTATTCAAATACAGATGTAGACATAGACTTCAGGATATAATAGACGTAAGGTTGTGTACATCATGCTCAGTTTACTTCTAACAGTTGGGGCACTAACATGTCTGGCAGAGCTAAGTGAACCTTATTGCATTAATCAAGATCACATTCAATAATAATGAACCTTCACCTGTATAAAAATAAACAACACATGGTTTGTTTACCAATAAAAACCTTTGTTCTAAATTTAAGCTATTTTTTGTTTCTACAACACAATTTGGATTCAGTGTGTGTGTGTTCCAGAGATACATGGGAGCAGTAATTGCCTCCTTTCTCCTGTGTCTCTTTTCATTTGATCTCAGCAG